GATAATTAACTAAAGTGTAATTGCTATTGGTTTTAAATTGTGCGCGAATAATGAATATCAATACATTATCTAAAAGAAATCTCTCTTTTAAACACACACACACGCGACAAAGAGATTTCAGCAGTTGAGCAAAATATAGTTTATTAAAACAACCAGTCCGCTTAACGGTAAGACTTTTGGTAGCGGGCACGAGCACCAGGACCAGCGAACTTCTTGGGTTCACAACGACGAGGATCGGCAACAAGAAGAGTACGGTCGTATTGAACAAGGATTTCCTTGATTTCCTTCTTGGCAGCTTCATCAACGTATTTTTGATAGAAGGCAACAATGGCCTTAGCGAGAGCCTGACGGATAGCATAAACTTGGGAGACGTGACCACCACCGTGAGTGCGGATTCTGATGTCAACGTTGGCGAAACGTTCTTCACCCAAAAGAAGGATAACTTCGTAGACCTTGAACTTTAAGATCTCGGGTTCAAGGAGTTCAAGAGGAGAACCGTTGATACGGATGAGACCGCGACCACGCTTGCAGTGAGCAACAGCAGTGGCAGTTTTCTATTGAATACTGTTAATGAGGCTCTTTACGTTAAATCTATTTGTGGTTGATGTGGATTCGAAAAGGAAAAAAAAAAAAAAAAAAACATAGTGTTCACAATGGTGTCTGTTCCTCTTTCTTTCTCTTTCATAGATTGTGTATTGTACTAATGCTTCTCCTTTCTCAATCCAATCAACCAAAAATAGAATATTGTCTTCAATGTTGAGAGAATTCCAAATTTACCTTACGACCAAATGTTTGAACAGCTTCCATGATGGCTACATGTCAAAAAATAATGGTTTAGTTTTTCATGTCTCCAATAACTTGTTTTCCCCCCTATCCATTCACATCTTTATCCATCCATCCATCCATCTTCTCTTCTCTTTCTTTCTTTCTTTTGCTTTTCTTCTGGTAGGGGGGATGGGTCATTACTTTACCTAAGGTGAAAAGGAAAGATTCATGTTATTAGCTGGCTTTGCATTTTTGTGTGTATTTTCGCTTCCAGCCCACACACACACACGCACGCTGCTGCACTGCTGCACTCATTGCACACTTCGTCCGGCGCCTGGTATTTTTGTCGGAATTTGTTTTAAATTCTGGTTGTGCGGACAATCCCTAATCAGCGGTAATCTGACCCACTCGCATCATTTCAGTATATGATGGTGAAGTTGTACCTATTTGCCTTGCTAATGCGCAGTGTTCAACAGTATTGTACAAAAATACGCAAAAACAAGAACATAAAAAATGGGCAAGTGGAAAAACAAGAGGGTTTTCAAGATCAATCTCTTGTTACTCCTTTGAGACTGCATATAGTCAAATACTAACCCCTTAGAGGGTGAAGTAACGCCATTATCAAATTACAATAAAGTCAATAATATATTTTCTTATCAAGTCATTATCTATTTATTTATATAAAAGAGTATATATTTACACATTCTAAAAATGAGGGACATTTAATGCACGCATGGTCATATTGACTATTGCAAATGTTCCTTCGCCTAGAACAAAGCCACTGGCAATGACCACAATGAACACTTTACCAGCAACAGATCGATAAGGTTCTATCCAGGATACATTATCACCAGGTGCATCACAGGCCTTGTTCCAGTAATAGACAGCCAATCCTCCGATAACACGAGCGAGTGTAAAATTGGGTGGATTATACATACCGATAGCAAACGCAATGCCTTGTGGTACGAACCTTGTCTTGGACGGATAGAGTTCCTTGAGGAGAACAAAAACAGTGAAAAGAAGTGCGAAAGCATAGACAAACTCGGATACATGAGGCGGTAGAGGGTGTCCGTTGACGAGTCGTGACATGTCTAACCATACCTGTGCAGTCGGCACAGGGAATTCTGGGCCAGGAATGGTGTAGACAGTGCGGTAAAGTAGATAAGCGCCTAGATGAATGGGTCAGTATATCATCTAAAGACACAGTTCCTCTCAAACCTGAAGCAATAAAGACACTAGCAAACGAGCCAATCATTTGTCCATAAAATTGAGCTTTGGGTGAGGCACCAAGTAAATGACCTGTTTTCAAATCCTGCATCAGGTCACCTATACATAAAAGGGAATGTTGAATACATCATCTCATTTACCACATTTATTAATTTACCTGCTTGTTGAGCTCCAGCTTCGGCAATACCTCCAGCAATCAAATTAGCCAGAATACTACCAGGCATCACGCCTGCGAAAAAGACTTGGCTAATCTTGCCGATACCACTCACAGGATTCAAGTCTGTTTCACCTAATGCACGAACGCCAAGGATACTGAGAAACATGGCAACCGCGACAGCCAAAAGAGTCATGGTTTTAGGTAGCACGTCTGGGCCAAACACAACGTTCACGAGATAGATGCATGACAGAGTCGACAAGATAAGGCCAAGAATTGTGACTATATGCGGTACCTGTTCCTCAGGAGGCGCGTCTACCTCATCTTGTTCGATCACAGTTTGTTCTTCTTCTTGCCTGACTTGTCGATGACGGTATGTCTTAACAATAGCTCGCATGAGCACAACCAAAAGAGAGACACATGATTCAGCAATCATAACACCCAACGATATCCAGAGAATCCAGCCCTTGGATCCATCCTTCCAATCGTCTACAGGACCAGGTGCCCATCCGGCATGATGAGCCAAGGGTGATAGAATACCCCAACCCACGACGCAGCCGAGAAGCATGGATAAGGTTGTGGGTAAGCCCATGATGATGCCTTGGCCGATATAACTAAAGCTCGGTGTGAAATACCATTCCCAAGCCTGGAAATCGATCATGTTGAATGTCAGCCAATTGAAGATGGGTAAGGCACTGATGATGGGGAAGAAGTAGGTTGAGAGCGTGTAAAGAGAAGAGACCGAAAAGGAAGCAAATAAACCATGGAGCTTCAACGCCCACACGCGCTCAAAATCTTCCTTGGGCGCTGTTACTTCTCTAACTGATTCGTCGGAAGATCGAGTGGAGGCATACGATGACGAGTCATGATCATCAAGCAACCGCTGACGCTCTTCGCCACCAGCCGTTACTCTCTGTCGAGCAGTTGTTGTTGTTGTCGGGTCAGGTTGCTCATGAAGTAAGCTGATCATTTGTGCTGTCGCGGTTCCAGAAGGAAATCTTAATTTTTCTCGGATAATCGTTTGTTTCCTAAGAGGAATCGCAAAAAACACTCCAAAAAAGGCAACTGCCAATGACCATAGAATCAATTGACCGCAATTCAAGATAACTGCGCCTCTGGGGTTATCATTGGGTGTCATGAGCTCCATGGCGGGTATAACGCCTACAAAGCCTGGAATGTGGATGTTGGTGTCTTATTATCATATACATATATTTGTGTGTACCTGCAGCCAAGGGCATGGTTGCCGTTGCCACAGCAGTTGTTTGTAGGACAACGTTTTCAATAGGGCCAAACTTGTGCTTCAATCCACGCTGGAAAGGCTTAAATAATGCAAAACCTAACAATGAAGATTGGAGTGACATCATCGATATCCAACCAGTTTGAAGACCAAAATACATATTGGAAAAGCACATCAGCGTGCCAATGATTAAACCACATAGGACAGATCGAAGCTAAACAATGATATTGGTCATTTTGTTTAATATATCCCCTCATGAGCCTTACAGTAAAATGTTTATAGAATGCGCCATCTTCTGGAAGGGACGACGATGAATCATGGTGTGTTTCTAAAGTGTATGCTTATTTCAGATGCTGGCTTTTCCCATTTTTAAACCCATTGAATATAAACCTCTTAATGAATACACTTCTTCTACCGATTGTCTATCTTTATTCATTAAAGTAAGAAAGAAAATGGAAAGAAAGGGAGAAATATGAAATGTGTGATTATTAATTAACCGGATGTTTGAAAACACCGTCCACTTTTTTGAGTAATTTTGGACACTTGTATGAGATTAAATTTCCCAGCGATTACAAATGTTCTTTATTCAAGCATTTTGGGGATACATCGATCGAGTGCTGGATGAAGTTTTGTATGTGTTCAACAAGAATAGCTCCACTGCCTTCAGTTACTCTTGAAGAGAGTGTTTCTGCATTTGCTAATTTACTTCTGACTCAGTCCTTCGACACTTTCCAAACCATTTCTATAAGATTAAGTTCAAACGAATAAGGAGAAAAGTATATAGTGATTTGCATTTAAGATTCCAGATTCTATGAAGATTCTTATATGGGCTAAGAATAAGGACATAGAAGAAAGCCATGATCAAGATATGGAGGACACTGAAGATCTTCCTTCCTCTGAAGTTAACAGTAGCAAGGAAACTTCCAAATAAGCTGAAGCAAAAGAAAGAACTAAAAATCACAGCCACGCTAAGGACGAAATAAAAGCAAAGGTTGTCCATATGGTTTATATTCATCCCAAGAAAGGTGCCAGAGCTGTGGCTTTAGAACTCACTTGAGCCGCGTATTGTACAAAGACGATACAAGGCATGGAAGGAGGGTAAAGAAGACGCCTTATCCAAACCTCTTGGCCGTCCAAGGACTATTGAGGCTGAAGGAAAACTTGCTGAGGACACGAAGAGTTTTGCAACAGAGTACAACAAAGAGCGCCCTTCTGCCACTATGGATCAATTGATGAAGGAACTGACTGCAAACTTTGAAAACCCAAAATTGTCCAAAGCAACTTTTCATCGCTACATGGCAGAGCTTTAGGAGCTTTTCTTTAAAAAGGCTAAGCTGGAGCCAATTGAGCGCAATAGTTCAGCAAAGATTCAAGCACGAGTAGACTGGGTCGAACAATGGCACAACACTGAAATGTATTATATGATCAACTGTGTATTCATTGACGAAGCTGCCTTTCATGTAAACTTGAGACGTACGCAAGCATGGCCAAATATAGGCTCAAATGCCAATATCAAGGTGTTAACTGCAAGAGCCAATACCCTCACTATTTTGGACGCTATATCAACCAGAAGTGTTATTAAGACAAGTTTAAGAAAGCCCATCTCACCCTCCAAAAAAAAAAGCAAAGTAAAGGCACCGTTACTAACCACTACATCAATTTCATTAAAGATGTTTTGAGTGAGATGGACAAGTTTCCTGATATGAAAGGCCACTTTCTAATTATGGATAATGCCCTCATACATACCTCAAATTCCATCAGTGAGTTGATTGTGACGTGTAGCTACAGGTATGTCTACTTATCTCGCTATTCCCTGGAGCTTAATCCTATTGAACAATCTTGGTTTGTAGCTAAAAGTATGATGAAGCGGCAATTCGTACTCGAAAAGCACACTCTTCCTCAAAAAATCTGTGATACATGTAATGATGTACCAGTAGGCGCTTTCCAGAGTTTTGCTAGATATTTGGTCTAGCGTTTTGATGGTTGTCTTAACAGACGTTATATTTAAATAAATGAGCCATGCGACGTTTTTATGTGCAACATTTCTCTGAGAATAGGTGTAAAAATAAGAGATTTACAGCTTTTTCGTTGTTCTTACGTAAAAAAAAAAAAAAAATAAAGCGTAAAAACATCATTAAATAACGGCAAGCACTTGATACACTCAAAAATAGACTTATACTACGGGCGCTGCCTCTACCCACTACTTATGATGTCTTCCAACAAATTTTTTCAATGTGTAGCGTCAAGCTAAACATGAGTTTATGAAATTACCATCTTGAATTGTCTTTTTTCAAGAAGAAGAAAGAGATAAAAAAAAAAGAAACGTTGTTATTGCTTTATTTTAGTTTTATGTTATCAGCCTGGTCAACAAAGACCATTTAGCTCACATGTAATTATGATAAATTCGTATTTTATATCAGAGTGAACTGGACAGCCTTAGGTTAGGCAAGGCTTTGGTTATGTGAAGTTGTATAGTGCCTCTACATGTAGTGCCTAGAAGAAGTGTCCGCAATATTAGCCTATTTTCTGGTGCATTTTCTGGTACATGTAGTGTTCACCTTTTTTTTAACAATGTAATTTTTGCGTTGGTTGTCATCCAATCAAATCGAAGGAAAAAGATATCCTCGCTAAAAAAAGAACAATGGCAAAATCAATCTTGGTGTAGTCTTGTGTGTCAATCCTGACTGCATTGGCCGTCAACATATGTGTGCTATAAGAAGCCGAGGCACCGACGCAGTAGTGAATATTCTGAAAACTGGATTATACAAGATGATTACAAACGACAATCACCCTTCGTTCTCAAGAAAAACGAAGATGCTGTAAACAAATTATTTCATGGCTCGACACAGTTTGGAAAGTTAATGTCGAACTTTCTCTCGGCGTAGAGAATGGGTTTCGAATACGTTTTTGGGTATTTAGAGTTCTCCAGTTGCGTACTGCGTGCGTGGTGACGAGCAAGGCTTTTTAGGAAGCAATTCTGAAATGGATATTCAAATCGTCAGTAGATTGACAAAATAAGACATGGGCGGTTATTGCTTTATATCAACCTATGCTCGAGTGTAACTTTCATTACTAGACACACTGCATTTCAAGCTATTATGTATAGTCTTTATCCCTTTTCTCCCTTTCTTTTTCTCTATCTTTCCTTTATCTCAATATATCATAGCATATCAACTTGATGTTCATCGACTATAAAGTAATGTGCCCACCTAAGAAGCCTGTGGGGGTGGTGTGACTTTTTTACCATTTATAGAAATTTGAAGGTGGCTTTGTCAGTCACTTTACTCTTCAACTTCTGCCATTTCTTTTTTTGTTTGACCCCTGGTGTTCAAAAATGCTTGCAGTAATTATTAAAAAAAAAAGTCCATGCTGATCAACGACTAATTGGTCAATCAATAGCTTCGTCAATTAAGAGCCTCAGTTAGACAACTTAGATTATATACGTAGGTTCATGCTTTATATATTCATACATATAAACAGACTATATTGATTGCATCTACAGTACAGAAGCCAAAGAAGTGACTGGAGCAGTTAAGGCAACTGAATTAATAACAAACAGCAGCAACAACAAAGTATTGGAATTACCCAAAACTGTTGAAGTTGAAGAATTAAGTGAAGCCTTTGAAGGTAAGTTTTGGCGCTGTTTAACTACACTTGAAGTAACACTCTTTCATATAGTACCTAAACGAGTATCACCTACACACAACATCCCTGTATGCAACCTTCAATTAAGAGGATATCTTCCTCAGCAATTAGATTTTTATGCTGACTTTGCTCGTCGTGCAGCCTATCATCTTGGCATGCCATGCTCTGGTACTGTACCCTTACCCACTCAAACTTCACGATGGACTGTGATCAAATCACCTTTTATCCACAAGAAATCACAAGAAAACTTTGAAAGAAAGACACATAAACGATTACTTCAAATCAAGGATGCTCATCCAGAAGTTGTGGATCGATGGTTAAAATATTTGACAATCAACGCACCATCCGGTATCGGTTTACGTGCTACTCGATTTGAATTTGAATCACTTAAAGGGCAGTAACAGAAGAGTTTGTATCATAGCAATAAAATATCACACAATAACAGAAATATACGTGAGGGCACGTGTCGTGGCATAAATATCATACGAGGAATGTTTTTCTCTTGCTTTTTTTTTTTCCTTTCCCTTTCTCTCTGTCCTTGATGACATCTTTTATCATGAATAATTATTCCTCCGCCTTTCCCCCTTTACAATCTATTCCTTGGGCATTTCCACCTTCAAATCATCAACATAATAAGAAGTGCAATACAATGATTTCCAAATATCCGGCTTATTTGAAGTATACCAATTATGCCCAGCTTGTATCGGAACAATATGACCAGATGATGAAGGAAGTAGACTTGCGTTTACCTCAATTTTGGAATAAACATGATAAAGCGAGATACATTGATGTTGGTATGAATGGTTATGACTTGTATTATTCTGGTAAAATCAAAAAAATCCTTTCGTGGGAATCTTCATCACGTATTTACCCTTTCTCTGCTTGAACAGGTCCTGGTAAAAAAGAACTGGATGCAGCCACAATTAGAACAAATTTTCCTATTAGACCTCAGTGTGGTATTTATTATTTCGAGATAAAGGTTACTTCAAAGGGTGAAGATGGATTTATTTGTATTGGATTCTGTAGAGCAGGAAATAAATTAGAAAGACTACCTGGTAAAATGAAAAGAATGGAAAAACAAAAGATGACTTATACAATTTTAGGCTGGGATGCTCATTCCTATGCATATCATGCTGACGATGGACACATCTTTGATCAATGTGGGCGCGGAAAAAACTATGGTCCCACTTTCACTACAGGGGACGTTGTCGGCTGTGGCATCGATTATGCAAACCAGACTGCTTTCTTTACCAAAAATGGTCTCTTTCTCGGTGTAGCCTTTAAGCAAGTGGATCTTTCCGAACCAATCTATCCTTGTGTCGGCCTACGCACTCCAGGCGAAAAAGTATCTGTCAATTTCGGACAAGAACCCTTTGTGTTTGATATTGTTCAATATGTCAAAGTAATACAAAGTTCAAGTCAATTAATAGAACAATCATCTAAACAAAGCAAGCTATTTTCTTTACTTTAGGAGAAAAAGGCACAAGTCATACGCGATGTAGTATCCAAAAATAACAAGGTAGATCAAGACAATATGGATCAACTCGTCCTCAGTTATCTTGTTCACCATGGCTATATCGAAGCAGCCAACGCGCTTCAGAAAAACTTGAGTTATATCAAACGCACACCTTATTCTACATTCCCTGCCACTAGTCAATATACCCAGACACGCTTTAATATCCGGAAACTAATCATTGAAGGAAAAATAGACGAAGCGGTCGAACAACTTCATATTGCCTATCCAGGATTACTCGACAGTCGCCCTGACATATTGTTTGCGTTAAAGGCACAGAAATTTGTCGAGCTCATCAGACACTCTATCCAGCATCATCATCATCATCACCATCATCATCATCATAATCATTTTCACGAAGAAGTAAAAAGCAGCGATCACTTACAGAATCAACCTTTATACGAAGAAGACAACACAGAGCATCACACAATAGCAATACAACATCCACCTCCTGTATCTGTTCCTGCACCAGGAAGGCGCTTAAGTTGGGCAGCCATCGCTGCTTCTCCTACTCACCCTACATTTGAAAGACGAAGCAGTAATGCAAGTAGCATTCACAGTTTGGATTACTTTGACGAAGAGCATGGTCACATTCGGAAAGCTATGAACTATGGACAAAGGTTGCAAGAAGAGTACAATTCGAATCCAAGCTACCGCGCTAGTCTAACAGAAATATCCTCACTCCTTGCTTATCCTAATCCTACTATAAGCCCTTCAGCTCACTTACTAAACAAATCAGCTCGAGATTCACTCGCTTCCGATGTCAATGCAGCTATTCAAAGTAAGCATAAGAGAGGTATACACGTATTTTTTTTTTCTAATCTTTTATTGTTGTTAGTGTATCAGCATGAGCAACAAGAATCCTCCTTGGAAAGAGTGTTTAAGCAAGTAACTGTCACTCTTCAACAACTTGCATTAACAGGTCATGGCCAAGCCACCTTGGTTCAAACAGACTCTGCATAGGGGTATATTGTGTGTGTATGTGTGTATAGTTTAATCGCTTGTCTCTTTTACAATCATTCCCTTTGGCCATGTCCCGTCTTCTTGCCATCCAGTGACAAGAATAGGAATCTAACATAATAAAGTAAATACATCAAAAAATGCTTACAATTCCTTCTTTATAAGTTACAATAAATCGTAATGGAACAGGATGAGTGAATGTTTGATGTTGTTGGATCAACTGCTTGTATATTCCCAATCGTTTCTTGGGATCTTCTAAATCCTGATATTGCTTATTATCCAACTCTTGTACATATTTTTCAACATTGACATCAGGGTTTGGTGTTGTCCACTGCTTACGTCTTGCCTCCCAAGCTTCAAGTCCGGACATACAAAAAGAGAGAAAAGAAAAAAATATTTATTAGGGTTCAAAAATAAATAAATAACGCACAGATTTACAATAATTAAGAAAAAAGAGGGGTAAATTAGATATTATTAAGACTATCCTTTGTCAAAGGCCTTTCTGATCCCATAGATCCTTGTGCTTGTGGATGATAAGGGTAACCTTGAATTTCTTGTTGAATGACTTTTTCTTCACCTGTCGTTTGATTGACACCAACAATCTTGTCTACATGATAATAAGCCATTTCCCCAATCTCAGCAGCGTCCAAGCCTTTTAGTTCTGCTTCACGATCCACTCGGAGAGAGAGACCTGGGATCTTGTTCATGATGAACAAGATAATATAGGTGACAACAAAGCTCCAGGCCATACCTGTCGTACAATCAGCCAATTGATAGCCTAATTGAATGAAGTGACGGTTCATCCAACCACCTTCAATCACTGTGGCTCCGTCCAGATGAGCAATATAGGCTTCAGCAAAGATTCCGGTCAAAAGAGATCCAACATAGCCACCCACGCCGTGAACAGCAAAGACGTCAGCAACATCGTCATACTTGAGCCAGTGCTTGAGATGAACAGCCATGTTACAGGCAACAGCGCCTAAAAATCCAATGGCTACTGCAGGCGCAGGTCCTACGAAGCCAGAGGCAGGTGTGATCGCAACTAGACCGGCAACAGCACCAGAGCAGAAGCCAAGAGCAGAGAACTTGCGTTCGATACGATAATCGAGGCACATCCACGTGATTGCGCCCACAGAGGCTGCCAAGTTGGTGACCACACAGGCCATGGCAGCACGGAGGTTGCCTGACAGAGCAGAGCCACCGTTGAATCCAAACCAACCGAACCAGAGAAAAGCAGTACCTAGTACGACATTGGACATATTGTGGGGTCTGAACTCTTCTTTCTTTTCTTCATGTCCTTCGCGACGACCCAAGATAAGTGCATAGGCTAAACTGGCTGCACCGCTTGAGATATGAACAGGAGTCTATTGTATACGGTAAGAAACAAGAAATATATAGAATCAGTTTACTTACACCACCAGCAAAATCAACAGCACCTAATTTGGCGCTCCAACCATTGGGATTCCAAGTCCAATAGGCAATAAAGTTGTATACAAGCGTTGACCAGATGAAAATGAAAATAACCATGGGTAATAATCGAGCACGCTCAGCAGCTGCACCGATAGCAAGTGCAGGGGTTAATGCGGCAAACATGCATTGATAAATACAAAAAACAAGATCGGGAATGGCAGATGATCCAATAGATGGATCACCCAAGACGCCACGTAAGAAGGCGTTGTCGAGATTTCCAATAAAAGAGCTGGTACTTGTTTTGCTAAATGTTAAGCTGTATCCCCAAATAAACCACTGCAGATAAAGTTAGATTGTTGATTCATTTCAGTTTGCATTCTTGGTTACCTCTACGCTAACAACAACTAGGGATAGCACACAGGCCATGATGAGCGATAGAGCGTTCTTTTGCCTGGCCATACCAGAGTAAAAATAACCAACGCCTGGTATCATTAACCAGACAAGTGCAGTAGAGGTCAATATCCAAGCAACATCGCCTGTTTGATATGTAGGAGAAGACGAGTCCATGTTTAAGAAAGACAAAGAGAAGTAATGGAAATGCGCATTATTTATATATACGTTATCTTTAGATAAAATAAGCTTTGGTTTGGACTGATAATGAAGGAAAGATAGGTATTCTGAGTTTAAACCAGTTCTCGGGTGGAACAGAGTTTATCTTTTGTCTTCACTGCACATATAAATAAATCAGGCAGCATATGACTTAAAATAGATTCCATAAACTGATACGCCTGTCTTTACTGGCAGCCATCAGCCAATTGCCATGGGTACCAAAATCAATACTGTAAACAGAGTCTCTATGGTAACACAGTACAGCCAGAGGCTTCATTGATCTAGCTGAAAAGACTCTTATTCTGGGGATCAAATCGATTAGTATTGCAAAATTACATTACATCTATATTACCTTCCGTCGTAACCTCCAGTAGCAAATATCTTATTGTCCGGTCGAATACGTACAACTGGGACACCAGACTTTTTTATCGTTATCTTTTTGATAACATCACCTGTCGTTATAGAATATTTACATATATGGTTATCTGCAGATGAAGAGATAAAATAAGATTTTGTCAAATCTATCGACAATCCCAGAACTATGATTATTTATAAAGTCAGGATATGTAAAGACGCCTTTCTTCTTCTTGTTCTTACCTGGTTCTTGTCTGTCTTTGTTATGCCAAACCAATTCGCTTCTATGGATATCCCATAACCCAGTACTTCCATTTTCATATCCAGCCAATACAAATAGATTATCCAACTGTTTGTACAACTCAACTACCATGCATCCGCCCAAATTAAGGTCTTCTTTTTCTCCCACATTTTGGATAATCCTTTTTTGTCTTGTTACATCAAACACATCAAACTGATTCAAAGGTTCTTATCTTTATCATTATAATTTTATATATACATATATAATACTTACATAGGCATGATCCTGAACGGAAGGAAAGCATACAAGCGTTGATTCTATATAGTCGAGTTTATACATGCAATACATACATTTTCAAGGTGCATACCTTCATCAGAATAAACAGACATTTTACAAAAGCATAAATCATTGTAAATTATTGTATTCACTTTTTCTACCGTTGCTTGATCCTGCTGCAATAAATTTAATTTCCAAAAATGTATTCTACCATCTCTGCCCTGACTTTTTATTTGTAAGAGTTGTATATTCTGTCTGTCTTTTTTAATCTTACCTTATCAATGTCTTTGAATCACTCGTTGTCGTCACTTTTAAACAATTTTGTTCATGTGCTTTCCACTTTAATACAGGTCGTCTAATCCTCATTTTCCAAATGGCAATCCAACCATCGAAATCACTTTAAATGTTGAGTTCACAAAATAAGAGTATATAAAAAAGATCCTGTTTATACCAAGAGGCAGCATAATTATCAGAGTCAAATAGGTGAATATGATTTACTTCTGCTTTATGTTCATGAAAGATGTACGTCGGTGGTGGAGGTGGTGGTAGTAATGCTTCATTGCTCATGGTTTTCTTTTTTTTTGTATGAAGAGAATTAATGAGCCAGTGTAGCCCATGTTTTATTTAAAGTCAACTTGGCCAATAAGATTTTGTAGGGGAAATGAGACTGATGATGAAATGCAGATGGTTTCTTAAAGCTCCTTAGTCAAAAGAGTAGCTGATTTCATGATGTAAGCAAGACACCATCTGATCAAGGGAAAAGAGCATCGTTTGACATTTGAAAGGTGTATTGTGAAATGCGTTTTGCCATATGGTTTGTAGGATACATTCAAACAAGGATAAATGGAGATTGTTGAGGTAATAGGACTGTGAGCATCGCGACTGGTGCTGATTTGAGATGCTGTAATGATTAGCATTGACTGCTCAATTTGAGGAAACGAGAAGAGAAAGGCTGAAGAATATATAAGCTTGGAGATTGTAACAGGCCACTACATTAGTTTCTTAAAAATGGTTCTCGGTGAAATAGGCAAATATCCTCATATGAAAGGCCATCGTATAGCTATGAATAATGCGCCCATTCCTTTCATAACTCTAAAATAACCGTGGATAGTACACTATTGAACAGGTGGTGGTCAAATGGGCATTCCAGTTCTGCACAATAGCACTTTTTCTTAATGCTCGCAAATGTGACTATTTATCCTGTGGCGTTAAATATGAATTGCCTTTTCCTTCACTTCAAAGAAACTCTTTTTTTTTTCTAAATAGTAAAGTCATGGCTATAGATCCCTTTTTCGCTTCTACCCGCAAGAGAAAGCGTAGCAACAAGCCAACACAGAAAAAGCAACCACGTCCAGCACAACCAAAGAATAATAAACGAGACAGTGACATTGAGGGCGATACAGACGATGAAGATCATTTTAATACCAATGTCTCAGCAGAAAGCGAAGTAGAATCTTCAGAAGAAGAAATTGAAGAAACAGCTGCAGAGAAACGTGTGAGACTTGCTAAAGCTTATTTAGAATCAATAGAGAAAAATGCACAAGGTAATAATTGGTGCCCTTTATTTTGACAGGTAGCTGATCAGCTCCCTTTTTTTTTCTTTTGTCAACACAGATGAGATTGGTGAATTTGATGCTGCAGACCTTGATAGAGATATTATTGCTGAGCGTTTAAAGAAAGACGATGTAAGAGGATCAAATTGGGAATGTTTTGTGGATACTAATTATTCATGTCTTTATAGGATGAAGCTGAAGGACGATTACACTTGCGTATTGCTGATAGAGTGAGTTTCTTTCTTTCTCTTTTCATTTTGAGCTAACATCTTTTTTCTTAACTATAGTTTAACTTTAAGACAGAAGAATTGAAATCACATCGATGCCGTGGACACCAGCTCCCAGTTACAGCAGTCGCATTAGCAGAAAATTGTTCTGTATTCTACTCTGCTTCAAAAGATGGATCGATTATCAAATGTTTGTATATTCAACTTTTTATAACAACAATGAAACTAACATCTATCCAACAGGGGATGCAAAGACATTTCAAAAATTACATACCTTTGTTGGTGGAAGAAAAGGTGTAAAGAACTACAATGGACATACAGATCATGTGTTGTGTCTTGCAATAAGTCACGACGGACAGTACTTGGCAAGTGGTGGTAAAGACAAAGTGATCAATATCTGGTCTGTGAAAGAGGATAAGCATATTGTTAAATTTACTCAACATAGAGACTGTGTTTCGGTATATTCATATGTTAAAATCTGTAGCCTTTCCTCACACATTATATTCATTAGGGATTAGCCTTCCGTAAAGGATCAAATCAACTATACTCAGCGTCATACGATCGTACAATAAAGCTATGGAATGTTGACGAACGAGCATATATAGAAACTCTATTTGGTCATCAAGATCAAATTACCGCTATTGATACCCTTGGTCGTGAACGTTGTGTATCAACTGGTGGCCGTGATAAGACAGCAAGATTGTGGAAGATTGTTGAGGAATCTCAGCTTGTGTATAGAGGTGGTATTACCACAAAACAAGATGATTCAAACCTTTCGTTTGTCGAAGGTTCCATTGACTGTATCGCACAGATAGACGAAAGCTTGTTTATTACTGGTGGTGATAGTGGGTACGTTCTCTTTGTACTCATGTCTAATTGATCAAATACTAATCTGATCTATAGTGTTATCTCACTGTGGGATATTAATCGAAAAAAGCCAGTGTATTCTAAACCTTTGGCTCATGGCATCAACCTGACAGTGAGCGATTCAGAAGGAGAGATTAAGCAACCATACTGGATTACAACAGTAGCATGTCTAAGATACTCTGATTTATTCTTTTCAGGTTCTTGGGATGGGTTTGTCCGTGTGTGGAAGCTGACAGGAGATAACAGATCCTTTGATCAAATCGCACAAATTCCTGTGGATGGTGTTGTCAATAGCATTCAAGTCAAGTCCTCTTTGGCTACAAAGCGCACACTACTGGTAGTTGGTATAGGTCAAGAACTAAAAGCTGGCCGTTGGATTAGATTAAAGAAAAATGTAAAGAATTGTACAAAGATATTTGAGCTTGATTATTCAAAATAAAAGAAAGTACTTGTCAAGACTATACAATAAGCGTGGTTTATTAGATATAACGTATATCATTATTCCGTTGTTATAATCAGATGTAAAAAGTTATCAGGGAAGCATAGATTTACATAAGCCCAATTAATGGGTGTCTCTGAGGGCAACGGTATCCCGTGGGTAGCAACATGTATGTTTCTTTCAGATAACTCTGGAATGATCTCTATCACAACATCACCTATAGTACGCACTTTTTCTTTGTCTAAACACACTGTATTTAGTTAAGAGTAGGACCTATACATGCAATAAAACTTGCCTGTTTCATCATGAAAAGACACTAGTTCCTGAATAACAGGACAGTCAGGAGACAAATACAGTCTGATTGGAATATGTCTATTGCTTGGTGTATATTCTACAAGTTGCTTATTTACACTCCAGAAGTCATTATAATTATCTATTAAAGTATTATAAATATATACACGCATAAAATTAGGCATAAAACACTCACCTGATGCAATCGACTGCCATAGTTGTGTATGATCGCGCTTGGACAGGTTCATGACTTTTTTTGTATTTCCATTACGCAAGAAATCAGCCTACAATAAAAGTGGTTCAATATTATTCTCCCTGTCTGCTGATCCATGTTTGTATTCGATTGTATGGCTATGTGATACCTCTTTTATCATAGACATAAACATGCTTTGTATTGTATCTGTCGTCGGTCTCGCTAGTATGCTGTTAGTAGGCAAGTTTTTGAAATGGATAGTAATGGACCAAGGTAGAGGTATCAAATGACCATACAAGTCGTATAATAGTCCTATCGGATAATGCCTTTTCTTACAGAGAATATACATGCTTAGAATATATACACAGCTCAAAAGTTTTTTAAAGTACACCTACCATCGTAGCGGTTCATGATTATATTCATACCATACATTATCATAATCACTATCTGGTATCTTTATATCCAGACCAGACAGTATTTCTCGCACTCGATTCGTCAGTAAAGGAAGATAGGAACATCTTGACGCCTCTAACTGGAAATACAATGAGTTCAATGTGTACTTGAATGTACAAAATACTCATTTACAAATATAGGATTCCATTTTGCATCATTAGCATATTCTTCCATTTCTTGAATGTCAAATAGTATCTTTATTGGAAGTTTTGCATTCCATACTTTTTGCGAAATTTCGGAATCTAACAAAGAAGACATGGCATATAAAGAAAAAGAGAAATAGAAAAAAATATAAAAATAACTCGGTAAACTGAGCGTTAATTCCCCTCCCTTCATATAGAGCCTAAGAAAGATGTATATATTTTAGAGTAAAAGTGGTTGCTTTATTAAGATACACCTCGCAGTGTTATTAAATCAGTTCATACGTTGCTACAGTCAGATTTGTTAAACAAGTTCAGATAAGTTACAACATGATCAAGATTAAATATGAACAAAAAGCTAAAGTGTGAGAGTAACAAAATGAAGTTTATATTTAAGTAAGCAATAGTTTAATTTCCAAAGAGAGAGTGTTTTGAATAAGTAGAGGCTTTTTCTTTTGATAGCCAAGTTTAGAGAACAAATGGAGATTTCTTTTTTTCTTTCCATAAGTCCAGAAGGCCACATTATCGCTAGCTTTCAAACCCAAGATGACTAGAACCATAGACTGCATGCCAGAAGACTACACAGTGTAAACCCTCCATGAATAAAAAGCACTCAAGACTCAAATCTCAAAAATCAAAAACTAATCTCAGAATCATACCACGGTAAATTCAACGAAAAAGGTGCTTCAACGTACAAAGAATGCACTTCTAAGTACCTAGGACGAAGCATTTCGAAAGGGGTGATGACCGTGGAGACATCGAAATATTGAACCTTTGGAGCATTGCGACCATCGAGCTCAGCAGTAAGGGAGGGTTTACAGGCCATTCATCAGCTGTAGAGGCAGAGCCATAACAATAGGAGCATCTCGGAGTGATTCAGCGTAGAGAAGCAGCGACCTGTCGTATGTAGTTACTCCAGAGCAGTATTCACTAGCAGCAGACATTGATAGACATGAGTAAAATTCTTCAGGGACTTTTTGACGTTGATAAGCATGGGACAGGCATTCATTAGCATTTTCAGGCGCTGTTGATCATTTGTAGGTACTGATAAGCATGAGTAGGCGTTCACTGGTCTTTCCAGAGATTTGATAAGCATTTGATAAGCATGGGTAGGCATTTAAGTACTTGTTTGATTGTTTGAGTGTATTGGTAAGCAGTAGCAAGCATTTTTTGAGTATTAGCCAGAAGCAGAGATTTCTTTAAGGCTTCACCCCGTGAGAGGTCATTATGATAGAGTAAGATATATCAGGAACCATGAAATAGAGCCAGTAAAAATGAATATTCTAAACGGTGGTATTAGTTATATGTCATTTGAGACCATTCAAACGCTGTTATACTTTTTCAACATAGGGAATAATAAAAGCATAGGAGAATTTTTAAAAGAGATAAAGAATGAAGAAAAAAAAAAAAGGAAAAAGGACAAGAATGATGGCCTCTTTTATAGTTTTTTATTTACGTGAATCATGTTATTTAAGCTGATAATAAATGACGCATTCCTCTTTTCTCCAATAATGTATGAATAAATAAACAACACATCCGAGCACCCGAACGCCTTCCCCCTTTCGTTTGCATATTTTTTTCACGTTCCTTTTCTCTTATAAGGCCGTTTGTTTACATAAAGCTGGCCTCACACACATGATTTTTTTTTTATTATGATTGCTTCACTTTTCTTATTTTTGATGCGTGTTTTTCTATTTTTCTGGTAGTTTTCTTTAAGAGTGAGTAAAAAAAAAAAGTAAGGTGAGAATTAAATGTTCAAGAGAAAAAGTTGAGAGGAGATGGCATCCTTTAAAAATGCAGCTGATAGTAAACAAAAAAATAAAGCTTTTCTCAAAGAGTACTAGACTACTGATTCTGTGGAACACACACAATTGATTCCATTACAGTTGTAATTTGTCAATCAAAGAAAGAAAGTCAATCATGATTGATCTATTTGGTTAGCCACTCTGGCTTGCCTCATAAACGTAATCAGGAATTATTATTTTTCGCTAAAAAGAACCAAAATCAAACTGCCCTAGCCTTCACGTATCAAAACCTGCTTATAAAACATGAGACATAAGTGATTGAGTTACTAGCTTAGGAAAACATAAGAGTATATAATGTTTTTATTTTTATTTTTAATGCACATGAAAAATAGGTAAAATGCTTATCTTCTATTCTCTGTTGTTATATTTCTATCCTTTTATCTTCTGCTTATGAAATGCAGACCAACATTAGCGACGATTATGCTTGTGATAGATTTGATGACTATACGCTCATTTTTATAGTAAAGCAATGGACCTTCCAAGTCTGCATAAACTATTTCAAATGGCGCTCGAAACAGGATGTGTTGCTAAGGTACACGACATACTTCACTTAATGACTTTATTGTCATGGATACTCGCGTATCATGAATGAAGGGTATTATTAAATATGTGATTTATTGGGTAATGAGAAAAGGGTTTTTATAACCATGAAAAAGAATATGAATACATAAATGCATGAAATGGATAAAAATAAGCCTTGTAAAGAGATAAAATAGTAGAAGAATAGCTCAATAAGCCTTAGAGAGGATCAATATGGTGGTAAAGCAATTACGAATATTTTTTTTATAATTGATTAGTTATATTATTTATCCATTTTAGTATGCAGAGTTAAAAAAAATGAAATGTGACTAATTAAGCCCCTGTAAGAAGAGCTACACACTTTTTTGAGCAATTATTGGCACACAATATAAAGTTACTAACTCTAATAGTCTCGGTTATCAATGTTTTCTTTATTGTTTAAAAGACAACATGTAATAATACATAAAATGAGCTTGATGTTTTTGAGAGTGATATAAGATAAATGCGATCAGCACTTTTATAAATAACACATAACTGATTTACTAGCTATTTCTTTTATATCTCATTTTTTTGCTTCTTCTGGGCTCTTTTTATCATTTTGCTGTCTCATTTGTTGTCTGAACTTATTATTTTTCTATCAGTGTACGAATAATTTCTGAATAAAGTGTAAGACCAGCTTACTGAGATGCCAAAATTAGATATCAGCCTTTTGGTGTACAGTAGACTTTATTTTTCAACTATCAAGCTTCATTCTTTACCTAAAGTCTCAACCATTTCATGTCTGAAAAACTAGTAAGAGATTTTGCTGTCTGTAATGTAAAAAGACGATTGTTCACTCGTATCTCTTATAGTTAATATTGACTATGCTCATCTAGTTGAAGTTTGCGTTTAAAGAAAAAAAAAAAAAGTCAAGAACTGTTTTCAAGTTCATTTATTTTGGGTGCTCTTTAATTTAGCGACTTGTTCTGGAGTGGCCTCATCGTGTAAATAAAAGCAATCATCCCCAGAACGGCATTCACCTTTGATGTGGTAGTAAATACAAGGTGTAATCGTACTTTCAAGCTTTTTTCTCTCTTCTTCTGATATATCATCATGCGCAAACAGACATTGATCTCCTGTAACACAGTAGCCTTTAAATTGCCAGAAGCGACAAGGACCAGTTAATTGGCGCAGCCGTTGTAGAGATTCATCCGTCAGTGTTTCATGTGAATAAGGACATTTATCTCCTTGCTCACACACTTTTTGGATGTGATAGAAACGACAGGGTTCCAATTTCAAATCCTATTATTCTTTTAGCTTTTAACGAGCTATAGTTGAAATAAATACTTACATGAGAGAATGGGCAAGCATCTCCTTTCGTACAGCTTTGCGTCTTGTAGAACTGGCATATCTTTATGTCCCTTGGACCTTCATGCTTAAATCGACACAGTTCGTCCTATAGTAACCTTGTTAGGTTATGGTTACACATTTAAAGAGAGAATGTCACTCACGTTTTTGCATTTGCCTTTCACCCAAAGTGGACACACCTCAGGATCATTCGTATTGTCATGCTTAAATGTACAGTTATCACCCTAAAGATATGCATGAGTTAGTTCATAACATTGGTTTGTATAGCTTATAACTTTACATCTTTACAATAGCCTTGAGCATAGTATTTACAAGGTACCAACGGTACAAACTCTTTTTTAGGCTGAGGCGCTTTCTTTAGTTGTGCCTGCTTCTGCTTTTGTTGTTGTTGTTGCTGTTTCAACTTCTTTATAGGCTTACCCAATACTATAATTGTCCATTAATATCTCTGTATATCTTTTTTATCTATTTGTATATTTACTCTCATAGGCAACCTCTTCCATACTTCTTTTCTTGGGTGAATATTTCAGAGCTGATGTATCTTTTTGTTCATGTGAGCTTATCGGTTCTGTTTTCTCTTCTTCTTGCTTCTTTTGAGCATTAGTAGTCGCTTGGAAGTATCTGTCCATTTCGGTATCAAAATCCACATCTTCTTCTTCTTTTGGTGTATCTCTATGCACGACTTCAGGTATAACCTTATTCTTGTTCTTTTTATTCTTTCTACTCCTCTTTTTTTTTTGTATCTTTGTGGGTGTTGTCAATGCGATTACTTCTTGTGATGGTCTCTTCATGGGAAATTGTTGCTGAGAAGGTGCCGGTGCAGAAGGTATCTGTGGAGGTATAAAAGTACTTTTAACGCCTGTAGTCACTTGCTCAAGAATGGAAGAGATCAGATCGTTGTCGTCTGATTTGACATCTTTTTGTGCTTGTTGAGCTGAAGTGATTGGCTGATCTTGTCTGATGAGGGTTTTTGTTTGGTCTTGATCAGGATTTTGAATAGGTGCTGATTTAGTAGATTGAGCAGTTACATTTGTTGTTGAAGGTGATTTGGATATATGCTTCAATTCCTCTAAAGAAGGAGGTGCATCTCCTAACAGACTGGCAAGTTTACTGACCATTGTTTAATAAAAAAGAAAAAGGCCAAAAGTCACAAGCCCAAGTTTCCTTTATTTTTGTTCCTGCCATGCAGGCGTAGTTTAATCCATTTGACCCAATGAAATCTTTGGTTTCACAGGCTTTTTGTCATGAATGAGACCATTGCCTGTTTGCCTTCCGTTCATAAAAGTATTAACTCACAATGGCTTTTTGTAATAAACGCCTGCAAATATGAGTTCATTAATTAAGCTTTCTTATTTCATCACTATCATTTCAAGTGCATCTTTTTGTCCCCGTATTGATGTAACAAGACCTAAAGAGCTCAAAAACTTTGTTTTTGTTCAAAATCTTTATTCTAGTTGTCTTGATCTTTTATTTTAATTACAGTATCAGAATGGGTTTTCATGCTGTGTTTAGTTAAAAACCGTAATGTAGAGTATGCAGTCACGTATTTGTTATTTTTGAAAAAGCCTTTGCCATAAGCTTTTGTTGTCTTCACGGTTGGCTTCCAAAGAGGACAGCAATTTTTTGTAGTAATTTGGGTTACCAGCCGGCATTAATATCTTGTCAGATATTGGATACTGTTTTTATGTCTTAATACAACCAAATTATCCTATTGACACCCAATCACACATATACACACACCCATCCACGCCCACACAGCTTTTCATTAACAGCCAAAAATATACCTTTTCTTTAAATCTATTGTCCAGCAAATAATCAAGTGCTTTCATTTCTTGTACTGATTTGTCATAATCGATATTCGATGATGATCGAAATTGTTCTTCTACCTTCTTGGCTAATACTTGCTTCATTCCTCTATTAGGTCTAACTTTATCCTCTGGCCATTCTCTAACAATGCGAAGATAAGATCTGTACAAAGACAATATTTCCTGTCGTGTTGGCATTTGTAATGAAGGGAAAGAAAAGTAAAAGCAAAAAGAAAAAAATCATTTGCCTCTATTTGTACTCGAACTCCGCCGCATTTTATTCAAAAATGCAGTAAGAGCTATCATTTTCAACACATAACCAAATTAGTTGGTGTTATAACAAAACATACAAGAGACTCATTTAAAATTCCTTCCATGCCACTGTTTAACAAAAGAAAAAGAGAGTAATCAAACCGAAAAGAGAGAGAGAAAGACAGGACTTTGCTATCTTCATTGATCATTATATTTGTTACATCACTCCCATGCTCTTCCAATGCATACAGGTTTGTCGTAATCTCTCTACAAATCAATTACTGCGCCGAGTCTTTCCTTAATCAAGTAGATTGCTGATACCAATTGACAGTTCAATTGATAAATAGAATCTTTTCGAAAAGATCCATTTGTGAACCATTTATTAATGGTGGGTGTGCGATTTAACAAGACTGATATCATTATAAAGCATGTACATGTCTTTATTCTCTAGCCTTAACAACGGGTTCCCAAGAATATAATTTGGGAGCTGTAGTGTTGTAAGTTCTGAATCCTTTGCTTGTACCAGAAAAGTTGGGAATAGGTTCACCATACCATTTTTCGGTTTTGAGGTTCATTTCGGTGGGTGGTTCTTGAACAATACGTTGAAGCCACATGTGCCTTTGATAAAAGGATTAGCATTCAAAGACATGTAATTGTATATGATAAATTACCAATCGGGTGCGATATCTCCTGGATCAGGCCAGCTTTGACTGGCATACTCAACCCAACGTTCACGGCCTATTCAGAAAGCGTGATTAACATATGCATATATATACATGTACATATATAAGGATCAAAATTACCAGATACTTCATCGTTATTTTCAAAGAACTTGTTTCCGTTAGCATCAACGCCAACAAGTCGGCCCCATTTGGTATCACCAATGGTGTTCATTTGCTTAAAGTAACTAGAAGGCCCAACCTTTAAAAAATTCTTAACTGTACGACCGATGGTAGACATGTTTGAAGGTAGTAAAGTAAAATAAAACAAAACTTGGTGAAATTTTACCGTCCTAGCGAATATGTGCACTCACTGAAATCACCCCAGAATTTTTTGATTGGATAAGATAATGATGACGTTAATATTTTCTTTTCGAATTAGAATAGAACATAATACAGGTGCAAAGGGTCAAACAAGTGATTGTTTGATGGTGCTGGTTAAAGCATTCTACTAAATGCAGCATTCCCTGATTCAATATTACAGTTACTATTAACATAATCTGCAAGAATCGATCGAATGTTCAATGCTGCGTTGACGTCTCAGTTCCAAACCTATCATTGGATAATAATCAGTACCTAACTAGCTGTAACTTGGCAAAAGTAACTGACCAAGTTTTCACTATGAGCATTACCAGCTGGACACTGTCTACAAAGCTTCAAAGGGTATACAATGGGGACATAGCCTGTTTTGTAAAATGAAGGCTTACGGGACACCACTACCATATTTGGTAAGTAATGCTTAGACGTCAGTTTGAATATGTGAATGTGGTGTCCCATAAGAATGAGCTGTTATTAGAAGATACGGTACAGAAAGTGTATATTGATGAAGAAGCTTGTTATATTGTCAAGTCTTTCACGACGGAAGTTGTATACAATATATCAACTGAGCAAGGAATGATGACTGCATGTAACTGTATAGACTTTCAACGAAATAGGCGTGCCTGTAAGCATATGTATTTGGTTTATCGCTTCGATAAAAGCTGTGTGGTTTACAGCCAAGGTAGATTGTCATGACAGTAATAAGACAAAAGCTACAGTGTACTTGCGATATCACTTAGAAATTGACTCTAGCTTGAGAGTTCATACCATGAGTGAGACAACACTTATCCAGAATCCTGTGGATCATAACCAGTTACTGAAAGCTCTGATGTGCTTCAATCAGAAGCACCATCTGAAGCTGGAGGTAGCAGATGAGGTGTTGACAAGCATCACGAATGTATGCAAATAAGCTTTAGAAAGTCGTATACAATTAACATTTGAAAATAACAACAGACTGTTACAAATTTATAATGAGCCAAGACAGCTGTTGTCAGCTAATGAAGAGATGCAGCTTCCACCAAATATCAATATTCAAACACAAATATGTGTCGACGTCACACCTTTACTTTGTTTGCAGGGTTTAAATCAGTTGATAATTTTTTTAATTTTCAAACACCCCCTCACTCTCTCACAAACTTCTCTTTTTTTCTTATACTTTAATAATGTTCTCCATTCGCCGTGCTGCTCTTAAGGCTGCTCCTCTTGCTGCCCGCACTTCTGTTAGACCTTTCTCCGTTTTGGGTGCTCGCTTGTGTAAATATTGACATATTGACATTTTTAATTAAAAGCTGATCTCACATTTGTCAATTTATAGCTGGTGCCGTTGGACACAATGTTGAATCTAACTTAGGCCCTGGTGCTAAGCCTGGTACTATCCCTACTGATATTGAGCAGTCTACTGGTTTGGAACGTATGGAATTATTGGCTAAATTGGAAGGAAAAGAACTCTTTGACATGGAACCTTTGAACATGACTCACCTTGGTACTGTCAAGAACCCTATTGTTGTCAAGTCTCATGACCCCATTCGTTTCGTTGGATGCACTGGTAAGAGATAGAATTGATTATATGCGTGCATGTTCTAAATAAATACTATAGGTTTCCCTGCTGAATCTCACGAAACCATTTGGATCAACTTGGACAAGTCCCACGAACACGACCGCTGCCCTGAATGTGGTTCCGTGTATGTTATGGATTTCGTTGGCTCTGAAGATGCTCACCACCACTAAATTGTCATATACACCTCTTCTACACAACCCATTCACAAAAAATATAGTTTTTTGTACAAAAGCAAATCAATAAAAAATTAACACACCAAGAAAAAGAGATAATACACCATGTTTTAATTTCTAAAAGAAAAAGAAAAAAAAAAAGACTGTCTAATGTATGTGTGTGTCTGAATCAAGCTCCCTTTTGTCAATTACAAAAGCCAAGTTTCTCTCCTATTTCCCTTCAATTCATTCTCGTATACGCATGAAGTAAGAGATCAACAAGATACACGTATACATATTCGCGTGTATGTGTATTCATGTCTTTTGCTTAGAAAAGAGAAAAACTATTGCTAACGTGATTATTTTATAGAAAGGAAGAAAGAAAAGAAACAGAGATAAAAGATGGGCTCCTTATTTTAGGAACTACATTTGAAATTAAACTTTTTTTCAGTAACGCAAATATTTTTTTTTTATTGGCGCAAACGAATTTACAGTTCCCCTTTCCCTCTACTTTTTTTTATATATTCTTTTGGTCCAAGCCCTCTCTTCTTTTTCTTTTTTTATTTTTCATCAAGCCCCAAAGAGAAGAAAAAAAAAAAAGAAACCGCTCATTTCTTATTTTATATACTTTTCTATCCTTTTTCTTTCTTTTTACATTCCTTTTTTTTTTGATGCTTTTTGATGAACCATATAACTCTCCTTCTTTATCTGGTCTTCACTTTAACGAGTATAACGATAGTTTTAGGTACACAAACACACATATATATTCATATACACAACATTTTATTATTAAGTATTCATAATTTCACATGAAAACAGGTTACAACGACAACGACAACAGTGAACACTATACATCAACTACTATTAGTAAAGCAGGTAAAAAGATACACTTTGATAAAGAAAAAAGGAACCGAAACTGAATACATATTACTAGCTAATGAAAGCTGTAGACGATGGAAAGTTCATTGCTGGCATTCATCCAAGACCATCGAGGATGGAGAAGTAACAGTGATAATAAAGAAATGTACTACTATATCCCAGTCTAGATCTCGGACAATCACTCATCATTACACGTCCTCTCCGACTCCGATTACAGCAAAGACAACAGGAAAGAGTATATCAGAAAGCACATCCAAAGCATCTGATGTATATCCTAAACCTACTTCGAGTGGAAGAAATTCAATTGTCCATAGTCCACATCATGTTGCTGCGACTCCTACGTCAATATCTTCAACTACTACTACTACCACTACTACTACTACTATTACTACTACTACTACAACTACAGCTACAACTACAACTACTACTGCCACTACCCCTACTACTACAACTGAAGCAACGCCTCTAGCTATCGCTCCAACCGCAACTGAGGAAAGCGGACATAGTGGTACTACACATAGTAGCACTAGCACCGACACTAGTAACAGCAACGACAGTAATAACAGTAATAACAGTAATAACAGCAATAGTGGTGATAGTAACAACAATAACAATGACGATAATAATAGTAACAGTAGTAACGATAACAGCAACGACAATGACGATGATGACAACGACAATGATGATAATAATAGTTCAAATAATGAAAATGGCGCCAACACCAGCGTGACAGATCATAATCTGACACCCACCGCCCAGACGCAGCCACCGTCTCCATCTCAGCCCAATGGGCCCTCTATTTTCAGCAACAACGAACTTCCAGTAGCCAACAATGTGAGCAACAAAGCATTAGGTATCGGCCTAGGTGTTGGCATCGGCTGTGTTGCCGCCTTAGGACTAGCAGGCTTGATCGTTCACAACAATCGTAAGAGGAAAGAATTAATGGAGGAAGATCAAGGCATTCCAACACGCTGGAGGCCCCAGAGTTTCATGGGCGTTGTTGCCTCTGTCGTTTCTAAACTGCCTCGTTCCCCTTCTCAGCGAAGCAAAGCGTCTACTTCTAATCTGTAATAAAACACACGTGGTCATTGAATATATAGGGGAGGGTGCGTGTACGTGTAACACCCTATTTTTTTCAATGTTTACACTCTGACCTAAAGTGTAAAAAATGTCTGTGATGTAATCTTTTTATAGAATAAAAAGTTCTCTCTCTCTTTCTCTCTCTCTTTGTCTTTATGCTCTTGCCAGCAGTTGAGCGTACACACATACATTTGTATGCTCACGATTGGCCTAAAAGTAGAATGAGAAAGTCCTATTGAAAATTTAATATATCTTGTGAAAATATAATCATCTAGACTTAAATAGAATACAATAAAGCTAAAAATATTTTTGAGGACGATCTTTTGTGTGAGATAATAGACCTAGGCTCATCGATTTTCTTTTTTTAATCCAAGGCAGTTACTCAATTTTTATTAGTGCCTTGACTCTACCGTACCGAATTCGCTTTTCTTCCTCCCGTTAATAATATAATCAAGGGCATAAATTCTCTTTTGAAAAGCTCCTGCAAAGCCAATAAACTATTTGGAAAAAATAAAAAAAAGGGGGAAAGTAGAATCATCTTTCTCCTCTTCTTTTCTCAAGCACAGCGTTCACGCTAATATATCATACCTCTTGTACTCCTTTTAATTCCAATGAATATCATATTCACAGATTATAATTTTGATTTAATCCAATAAAGTAAAAGGAGAGAGAGAGCCAAAATGTTTATATAGCCTGTAAATAAAACTAAACACAACCTCAACCTTTAAAAGTGAATATGATTTAACGGGCAAAAAGAGGAGGTTTATACATGAACCAACTTCAAAGCAAGTCATGTCAGGTATCTTAAACACATGAACGCTTACTCAAATTATTATTGAAACAAGAAGCTTGAACAAGTTTCCGTATACAGTTCAATTGTAGGTGTAGATCTTTGTTACAAACTGTCAAACTTTTGGGCATTTTCAAGGAAATTGCAAGTGTGATTTTTGACGTCAATGCAGCGTGGAGAAAAGTGTAATTCAAAAAATTGATAGATGAGCTTATTATAATTGAAGAGTGCTTTTAACAACAGTAATTTGTAGAATATAGTCAACATTGTTTATGACATACTAGAAGAATACAGCAGTTCAACTCGAGATGAAATCAAAAGCATATGCTTAAAAAAAAAAAGATACATAGTTTTATAGCTGTTTTCTCTCTTTTTTTTGTGGTCGATCAAATAAGAATCATTTCAATCAAATATACAGGTTCGACTAGGAGAAATAGCCTTGATATCTTTTTGCTTTCATAGTTTCAAGTATTCGGTTCTCTATTTAGTATCTCCACTATATATATATATATGCTTCATATGAGAATAAAAAGTGGTTCTAAAGTTATGTAAAAAGAGAGAAAAAGAACCTTGTACATTTTACAATGAGTAATCATTGTTAATTGAGAGAAAAAAGACAAGAAATGAAAATCACCAGACAAACAATAGATAAAGAACATGATTGGCCGGCAAGATATCATATGAAAATAATCCCCGTATTTCAGATATAATAAGCAGAAATCATCCTATTTCTTTTCTTTTTTCTTTTTCTTTTTTTTCATTTATAAATGTCAACAAAGGGATTATTCTTTCAACAAGACAAACTACAAGACAAGATATTGTCTGAATTACCAAAATTTATACCATCTTCGTCATCAAAAAATGAATCTTTTAGAACAAAAGAATATCACATCAGTCGCAATGATCCTGAGTTATACTTGGGAGACGATTGTGATGCAGAATATGAGCAGATGTTGATGAATTCTCACTTTATGGAATGGTTAAATAAACATCATCCTGATGTATTATTCAATAGAACAGCAGCCAGTAATGAACGACTAAAAATGATTTTAGCCCATTTTAAACAAGAACACCCTCATTGTAAATAAATATTGCATCTTTTCTCTCTTTTTATATTTATATTATGTATATGTGATATTAAACATATAGTATAAAAGAAACAAAAATAACCAAGGGTATCGAACGGTCACTCTTGATGAGTCACTAGTCATAGTTGTAGGTATGGTCGTTGTTACTGCTGTTGTTATGGCTACAGAAGATGTTGCACTCTCAAGTGATGTCTGATTATTCTTTAATGAATAGATGACATCTATTAAGAAGAAGGTGATTGAGGAAAAAGAAAAAAAAGGGCTTAAAACCAAAATACCTTTAATCTCACAGGCACGTTGAGTGTTGTTACAATGAAGCGACGACTCGGTTGAATTAAAAAAGAAGGTCATATTTTTGATGGATATATAAGCATCTTCTTTTATAGGCCCTTGACTAAAATTAGCATTACCGTCTGTCCAATGGTTAAACATGATTCGACCCGGCTGAGACAATATGTTGGTCGTCATCCTATATCTCTCGGCGCCATCAATATAAAAGACGACAAGATTTGGATACCAATCGAATCTGTATTCATGGTAATTCTATGTTCAAAAGTGTGGTGAGTACCACAACATTGCTTTAAAAAAGAGAGTACGCATACTGCAGAAGGATTAAAATTAAAGACCCATTCACCATGAGTGAGTGGGGATGCTCTTCCATCCGTTGCAATACCAGGATGAACAGCAAAGTAAGCTTCTGGTGGCTGTAATGCGGATACCATTTCGATATCGATTTCACCCTGTGGATGATAAACAAACATACCAGTGACCGTTCCCTTAACATGAGTTAGTTTCATCATGCTTCGAAATGATCCATACAAAAAGTCATGTCTATAACAAGAAAAATCATACAAGTTCTTTTTTTTAACTTCTTCCCTCAGATGGTAAATATACTCTTTTGCTCACTTGTCGGTACCAAATCCTCCACAGGAAATATCACTACTATTTGTTTTGTTTATTGTCACAGCTATCTGAATAGCATTATTCACAACCTCTACATTCTCTTTATGAAATACACGTGGATAACTGTCATTATATTTAGGTGGAATGATGTAATTGGCAAAAAACAAGTCTTGCGTTGTGTATAGTTGTTGACTATGCTGCTCATCCTGAAAATCCATGTACCACAAATCCTGCCAAACGGAATCCTTCATGGGATCACTGAATCCACAATCACATCTTGTGACACTTGTATCATAAACGATTGCATATGTCAATGAAGGAATAAGAATAAACAAATGTAATAAATTCATAAAGAACAGAATGAAAAGGAAATGTATAAGAAAATGTTATGGAATCGACCACACAGTTTCTCAAGCAAAAATAAGGGAGCTTTAATTTGTTACTCAGAATGCATGAATTTGTTTATTATTTATTCATCGCCTTAAATTTGTCGTGTTTGTGTTTTGCTTTTTACTGATGGTAGACTGTTCACCCTAAGTTGATATAAAAGCCATAAGTTGCTGTAAGCATACTCCATTTGCTTACCTTCATATTCAAAAAGTCTGCTTCCAACTCATCTTCTTCAGATGCATTAGGTGGTGCATGTATATTGTATAGCGTTTGTATCCGATCTATTTATATTAATAATAATGTTGGTATTTACTTGCATCACTTACTGGGCCGTCTTCGCTCTAATCTTGACGGTGATGCATATCTTTCCAAGTTTCTCTTTCGTAAATTTCGTTTATTTTGACTCACTCTTTTATATGCATCATGAAATAGGTCATCAATATCAACATCCTCTTTATCTTCTTTAATCATTTTTCTTCGTTCATCGATCGCTTGTAATACCATATCATGAAGACTGTGTTTTTCACTCTAAATATAGAGTAAGAATATGTATAAAAGGTTATTTACCATTATTTTTATCACCTCATATTCATCTTGAAGTATATTCATCTCGATCTCATATTGATGTTTTGCTAGTGATAATTCATAATTTTTAAAGTATTCTGCATATTCAATTGTCTGTTCCCTTCTTAATTCAATATCCGCCAAACTTTCTTTAAATGCCGAATGTGTTCCTAATTTTTTTTGGTGCTGTTGGTTGATCCATCGAGATGACATAATACTTTTTTTTTTTATTTTTATTTACCTTGTTGAATTGTCTTGATTTCTTCTTGAAGAGATTGAAGCCTTTCTCTATAAAGTCTATAATAAACTGAGTGATGCCTAGAAGAGGGGGGTTTAACTACTGGGAATACCATACTCGTCACATTGTTCCCAAAATTCGTTATCCATCCAAAGCATCAAATCATTAAACTCTCGTATCCGACGCAACATCTTGCTTTCGCTTATTTCGATAGGTTCTACATGTATAATAAATAAATGTACATTCAGAACTGAGTTTCTTAATGACTTTATACCTTGCCAATAGGTTTCATAATTCGAATGATCGCTTATAATTGGCTTATGATCATCCTGTATGGGTGGTTGAAACGAAGAGGATGGTTGTGGAGGGGGTTGAATAGGCACTGCGGAGGGAGGAGGGGGTGGAGGCAAAGGTTGCCACGGTCTATAGGAAGGAGGCCGATGCCAAGTACTATGATGTAAGATTGGAGGAGGCAAAGGTTGAAGTGGTCTATAAAATTGATCTTCATAAGCAGTTTGTTGCTGGGAAGGCAGATGATACATATAAGGTGGCCTCGCGTAATAAGGATTGTTATTACTAGGAGGTTGTGAATCTGCACCAGCCTGTGCAACAATAAAACCAAACTGAGGCAACATATCAAAGTTTATTTAAAAGAGAGAAAAGAGAGAGAAGGAAGGAAGGGAGGAAAAATCTTTATTTTTCCTAATGATTTTTTATTTTGCGCTTTTTTGGGGGGTGCATAGTGAGCACTTTTTTTTTTAAGTGTTACTTTTCATCAGCAACTGCATAGACGTGTTTTCCTCTTTGTTGATAACTGGTCATACCTTTACCACTATTGACTACACCGACTATATACACATTAAAGTATTAATAAGATAAATAGACAATATTAAATGAGTTACCTTTTCCATCAGGTGTATCAGGCGATTTAAATATACTCTTCTTATTGATTGCTGAATGTTTCTTTTTACTACCCACAGTCGCAAAGCTCAACCAAGCATTCTTTTTACTTTCAATTTCGGATGCTTCTTTCTTTTTACTGACCTTTGGCTTTGGTTCCTGTACTTTTTTCTTTTTATCTTCCTTTATGTCTTCAAAGATACCCACTCGTTTTTTAGTTATTATAGGTTTAATATCCTCTGATTTAACAAATTCTGTTTCTTTATATCCTTTAAATCTAACCGAAAACACTTGATCAGCACCTCCAATAGCAGTAATAGTCGCTTTATAAAATTGTCCATCACCTGCCCATCGAGCCATCACTTCTTGTCCAATCGAGAACTCATGGGTCTTTAATGCTGTTGTAGGGGGTGTTGTAGGTGTTGTAGGTGTCTTTTGTTTTGGATGTTCAGGCGTCTTTTGTAACTGTGCTTCAAATAGACTTATAAGTTCTTTCAAGTCATGTTGAAGCTTTTGTAATTCTTCATTGTTTGGATCAGAAGCAAGTGCAAGTTCAACCTGTTCTAATTGAAATTTATAAGATTCTATTTCTTCTGTTGAACTCATCTTTACAACAAAATTGTGTGTAATTTATACAAAAGAAAAAAAAAAAAAGAAAAGAAAAAAAAAGCAAATTTTTAGCTCAAATCTATTCGTTCACAATAAAAGGAAAAATGGAATCCCGATATGTAGAGCTAAACCATCCGTTTTGGGGCGATATCATCACCTTCTTTACATTGTATTGAATAACTTGAACCGCATTCAAATTCTTTGCAAGGTTAGTACGTGAATTAGCTACAGAAACCCTTGTTTCTTAAACAATATTGATCTGTATCTGGACTGGAATCACTCCATATGCTCTCAACCATCAGACTTATGACGTGACTAACGATATTTGAGTTTATGATGATAACAAGAGAACAATTACTTCAATTACGAGCAAAGACACGGGTGCTTTTAAAATACACAGAATCAATGCGATTAAAAAGGGGGCAGTCTGAAAGCCAGAGACCGAAGATTTTAAATAAACTTGAGGAGCATTAATATGCAAAGTAGCATTAACGAGCCTTTATTTCAAAATATTGCAGTAACAGTGCTATGGATCATGATGCTCTAGTTTATAGCAGTCAAGATAGCAGAATCGATGATGATTCTAACCTTGCAGCTAATATTGTCACCAGAGGCAGAGCCAGTAGTCTTCAGAACGGGATTAGATCGAATTCTTCAATGTATGCTTGGGGAACATTTAAGATCGTATATTATTTAGCACTGTTTAACATAGAAGCAATAGGCTTGCCGATATAATTGAATTGACAAGTCCTACAGATGCCACTCGCGCCAACATAAACCAATGACACGTACAACATTAACATGATAAGGCATCTTAAACACTGTAGATGCTTTCTAGTCCGAATATACAGATTTATAAGCATTTATGCACAAACATATAGACATCCTACATTAGTGATAATTTCAACAGCAGTTACGTCTTTGGGTTTATTTCTTTATGGCAGAAGAATCTTCTTTTAAATTCAACTTAGATACTACACGAAAAACAGCAAATATTAATTGTTGCCTTTTATACACTATTGTTGTTAGACATTCACTTACAGGCACGGGTTGTCCCGTTGTTTTTGTTTTTCGAAGGTTCATTCTTCAAGACCTATTACTGAATTTTTATCTTTTGTGAAAAGCTCAAGGTTATGTACACGTCCAGAAAATAAAAATTGATGTCTCCAGCGTCGAAACTTATGCCATTCAAACCATTTATTCAGAAACTCAAATACAATGGTACCTCTTTCACTCCATCCGTAGCATGAACCCTACTTCCTGGTGCATGTAATCGTGAATATACTTAATTATAATCGACCAATAAAAGAAGATTACAGCACCTTATCCTTCTCACGTTATCAAAATATGCTCAAGGAAGAGATTCATGGCAAAAGAGAAATAGATCTGTATATGCAAAATAAATGTTATCAACATCTTAAGGTTATATTAATTATGACGTATCATCAACTACTATAAATTACAAATATCATGAATCAGTGTTGTTTGATATGAAATATTATGTTAATATTTAAGATGATTTTGGCTTGTGTACGAAATGTGTATTGATTATATTACGTCAAAGGGTATAATTTTCTTTAAAATAGAGGTAGAAATACGATACATGTCGCTGGTTGAATAGTACAGGAACTTGTACAGAAACATGACCAACTCTTTATCCTTTGTTGATGAGGCACGCCTGCTGTATTCGGCTTTATAATTTGAAATAAAGCAGCTAAGTCGATGCTTTGCGGGTTAGATTCTTTATTAAAAAGGAGCTGAATATTATTAAAATAAGATGTGTGTGCGTTTTATAGGGTAGAGAATCTATGACTGGTGGTTGAAATTAATAAGTAAATAAGTAAAAGAGCAACAATTGGCTTCTTATGGTGAGAGCCAAAAGTTCATTGGATTCTAAAGTAGTCAATTCGCGAAAGATCAATTTTCATTTATCTAATTTGTCTACTTTACTCATTTCAAGATAAAGCCTTGGTGCAGCTTAGATTTTTCAAACATCCTCTTCAGTTGTCATCTAGTGAGCTATCCAATAGGAATTTGTTGACTGAATGATCGACTGTCAGCACTTGAAACATTCTCTCGTCTCTTTCCACAGTCTTTGCTTTTCCCTCTCTCTCTCTGTGAGAATGCTCTGTGCTTGCTCTGTTCCTGCTTCAGAGGAATGCACACTCTCTCTGTTCTCGCTTTAACAGCCTTGAGAGCTGATAAGAGTATGCTTTATAAGTAGTTCTAAATAAACGAATTTTATTTAATATTTGGTAAAACAAACCTCAGGATAAGGTTCTATGTGTTTAAACAGTTGAAAGGACGAACATTCCATCATTACACAAATAACTTTATTTTCTCACTAAGGTTATTTTTGCTCAGCAGCTCTATCTTTGCTTCTTTTAAAAGGGTATTATGAGTGGCTTTCTCTTTCATTTTCTCGCAATTGGACACTGCTTGTGAATAGCAAGAAGCTGCGTAGTCACCGAAAACTCTTCTAAGCGATTGGCACCAGCCTTTGAAATTCAGTAATTGTAATAAATTCCATTTGAAAATACTGTTTTGGTAAAGACCCACTTCTGTTCCTATCCTGAAGATATATGATTTACGTTGTTGTGAATTTAAAAGTAAAAGACTGTATGACGGGAACATTGCTTCATTCAAGAGAAATGGGAAATGATATCATGTATTACATACCATATACATATTTTAATAGTAAGCTCACATGTATGTATATAGATGTAATCAAGTAGTGATCAGTTCCACAATATGTGCACAACTATATCCTCATCTCTTCCTTTCACTGATTACTCCCCTTGATCTCTGTTCTTTCTTTTTACACTAGAGCGAACTAATTACGTGATTATTAACAAACGATCTCTTTACTACCTATTCCTTTTAATAAGCAACCATCAACTTGCCCAAGTTCACTGTATACATGGTTTGCAACACATGTAATAGAGTAACTATAGAAATATGAAAAAAAAGGATACGATATACTATATTAGGAAACCAAAAGGACAAATCATGTATCGCGTGAATCATATCTCTATGGTAACCAATGAATTGTCTCTGATTAAGTGTGCAGTTTTAGATGTTCTTGAGCACAAACAGAGTCCAGGGCATTACAAAATTTCCGAGAAATAGGATATGAATAACTTACATGTAAACACCTGACAAGTAGTTTTGTCTTTTTGTATTGTAACGACGTAAAAAAAAGGAAGAACACGAAGCTCGGAGTGGCAATTCTGATGATAAAGACAAAAAGAAAAACTTTTTTTAACGTATGATTGGTAGAAGACAAACTAGCGTATAAATGACAGACGGTGAGTTTTTCCTTTCTTTTTTTTTCTTTTTTTTTTTTTTTTAATTAACCATAGCACGCAATGGATATACGACATGATCATAAAATAGATCAAGCGGAACGAGGAAACATGGAGAATGATAATCCCATGAGAGTGTTCAACAATGAAAAAGTAGAAGCTTATGATCAAACCAACTTCTCAATTGAAGATATACCCGATGGAACAATACAACACACTACAGGCACTCAACCAAGAAGAGGATTGAATGCTCGTCATATTCAAATGATCTCACTTGGTGGATGTATTGGGTACAATAAGCTTGATTTATCATTATACACAATGTCTCATCTCTTCATACAGTACGGGTTTATTCCTTAACTCTGGGCAAAACATTGCTATGGTGACTATTTTTTTAAAAATTCTCTATCTCACTTACTTATTCCGATCTGTTGTTGCTATCATAGGCTGGCCCTGCAGGTGCATTGATTGCCTACTGTGTTGGTAAATATCAAGACAATCACATATAAATATCATACTAATGTACACTTCTTTACACAGTGGGAATAATGGTATAATTATAAATTGACTATCGTGAGAAAAATCATAAACTTTGTTATATAGGTTTACTGCCTGATGACCTGTTTGGGTGAAATGGCTACTTATATGCCAGGTAACACAGGATTGTACCAATGAAGCTATATCACTAACCTGCATAACTTTGAATGTCAGTTTCTGGATCATTTAACCACTATGCAGCAAGATTTGTTGATCCTGCTCTTGGTTTTGCTTTAGGTTGGAACTATTGGTAAGTAATTATTGTTTAATAGTTGACTTCTTACTGATGTATGATTTTATTAGGCTTTCGGTAAACACTTCAGATAATTAATCTCACGGTGTGATCTCTAACCTTATCTCTTTTTTTTTTTTT